ATAAAAAAATGCACAATTGGGAAAAAAAATTTTCTAACTCAAAATTGAAGAAGGGATATGTAAGAGAAAATATTAAATGTCCAGTCAAGTCCACATTATATAGAAAGGAGTTCAGGAAATCAAAAGAATTAGAGATATATTTTTAATTATAAATCATTGCTAAGTAAACCTCTACCAAGTCAGAGATTGCTACCAGAATATTAGCATCCTGAGGACAGGGACTTGGGCCATCTAGTTCACTGCTATATACCTCGTACCTGAAGTGTTCTGTAAAAGATAGTTGAAATAAAGAGCAAAAGAAAAAAAAGAAAATGAGTTTTTTCCATCTCAGAGTCTATTTGATCCCACCAAGCTGTGAGGATTCTCTCATGTTTGTAACTTTTTCCTTATAACAACAAAAGATTGGCAACATCTCACATAGCTACCAATAGATGACTATTAAATAAATTATGGAACATGCATCTATTTTAAAAACTAGGTACATAACAATGTATTATCTAGAGGAGTTTTTTTTTTTTTTTAATTAAATTGCAGAAGAATGTGCTAATACTTCTGTTTAAATGGGAGGGTTCGTGGGTATTGCCTTAATTGCCAAGGCTGCTATAACAATATACCGCTGACTGAGTGGCTTAAACAACACAAGTGTATCTTCTCTCAGTTCTGGGGGCTAGAAGTCTGAGGTCAAGGTGTCAGCAGGATTGGTTTCTTCTGAGGCCTCTCTTCTTAGGAGGGGCATCTTTTTCCAGTAACATATAGTCTTCCTTCTGTGTCGTAATCTCCTAATTCTCTGTGTCTCAATCTCTAATGAGGACAATAACCGTATTATATTAGACTCACCCTAATGACTGAATTTTAACTTCCAAGGCCTTGTCTTCAAATACGGTCACATTCTGAGATGTTGGTGGTTAGGACTTCAACATATGAATTTGAGGGGAACACAGTTCAGCTCATAACAAGTATGTACACATGCCGACTCTTCAAAATGTGGGTTTGCAATATGCGCAGTTTATTGTATATCACTCATACCTCAATAAATGTGTGTTTAAAAGGGAGAGGAAAAGAATATGTGTTACCTTTTGTAGAAGAGGTGAGTGCATAGCAGATAGAGTTCAAAAATGGGACTTTTAATATATGTAAGTGTATTACTGACAAAAATCACATAAATCACATAAATACATACTGTTTAAACGTTAAGATAGTAACTCCAAGCACACTGGGAGTTGGGGGGAACAGGTGTGAGCTGCCACATGAACCACATTCAGGCAGCTGTGGGCTGAGGTGAGTGGTCAGGCACAGGTACACAAAACTTCTTACAAAACTCTTGCTCTCTATAGCAAGGTTTTCTGACCTAAGATAAGTTATGGAACTTATCTTTGTTCAGGATTGTTAGCCATAGCCTTGACTGTATCATTTCCCCATATTTATCTTGGGACTCTTTTACTGACTAAAATTTTACTACTTTGCGGGGCGCCTGGGTGGCTCAGTCGGTTAAGCGTCCGACTT